AAAAAAAGAAAAAGGGCACATTATACATATTTATTTATTTATTTTGGTGCCAGGAATCAAACTCAGGACCTCACATTTACCGGGCAGGCTCTTATGCCACTGAGCTATATCCCCGGCTTCATCATATGTATTTTGAAATAAAGGTTCCTTTTGCAGTCACAGGAAGAAGTGCCTGCCACTTCCTTTGTTGGGGAAAGGTGGCACAAGAGGCTTGATGGTTTAGATGTGGGGAGCAAAAAATCTGGCTAGATTTCTGACATACACTCCATAGGTCTCAGATTTGATGGAGAGTGTGGAGAGAGTACAGAGAAGATACCCCATCTCCTTAGTAGCCAGTGTAGGTGGTCAGCTGAACAAGTGTGGGGAAAGCACGTTTCCAGGAGAAGCTGTGCACAAATCTGGATATGTTCAATATGAGATGCTAAGAATCTTTTTTTTTTTTGAACCGGGGATATGAACTCAGGCCCTTTCCCTTACCAGGCAAGCACTTATTCTACTGAGCTATCTCCCCAGCTCCTCAGGAATCATTTTTAATGGGCATTTAAATGTAGGTATGGAGTTCAAGGTAAGCCTAAGCCTGAGATGAAGATAGACGATGTGGCACAAGTCCATAAACTTATTTGGGCAGCTGCGATAGGATCATCCTGGACAATTTAGCAACTCTGTGTCCAAAATGACAAAGGGCTGAGGATATGGCTCAGTGGTGGTGTGCTTGCCTAGATACAACCCACAGCACCAAAAGAGCTGTAAAAAAACAAGAAAAAGATTTGGATCTCTTGAATCATTCTGGTTCTAACCTGGATCTAGAAGGACCTTCCGAAATGAACCTGAGCGACCAGAGGAAAAGGCCATCGAGAAGGGGCTTGGAGAAGCCAGTGAAGAAAGGCAACAGCAAGTGTACGAAGGCTGCGAAGGGGAAGGGGAAATGGATCCTCAGATCCTGGGAGGGGTGCATGATGCTGGAGAGTTAAGGCTGGAAAGCTGGAGGAGTCTGAGGCAGAAGGAAGTCTTTGTGGACAATGTGTCTGAGGGAAGCTCCCGCTGGTCCTGGAGGCTGTAGACAGCAGAGGTAGAGGGCCACTCTTCAGAATAAGGATGAGGAGAGGACTAAAAGTCAAGTGGGGTGTAGGGCTTTAAAACGGTTAGAAGATGGGCCTGGCGATGACCAGGGGCTCGGTGCTATCCCAACCCCTCTCGCGAGATGACACAACTTTTGGCCACATTCGTCTCTTCGAAGACTTGTGAGCTCATGCCGAGAGCAGCTGGTATTGTCACGTGGGGCTGGAGCTCAGGATTGGCCCCGCCCCCTGTGCGGGTTGGGATTGGCTGGCACTCCCAGAAGGGGGCGGAGGCAGCTGTAGACAAGGGGAACTTTTGTGCGCGCTTCGGCAGCAGAGGAGAGGGTGCATCTTTACAGCCCCCACCCCGACGGGCCCCTGCCATCTCCCGTCACTCTATCCTCAGCCCTTGGGATGGACCCTCAGCCCTCGCCTCCGGGCAGGTGGGGGTTGCCGAACTCGGGCCCTCGGGACTCTGACCCTGATGGCCGCTCTGATACCTGCAGCACCTCTCGGATGGAAGTCCTGGAGGAGTTCGACAACGAGTTCCCCCAGAGTGTGACCTTCTGCCAGCTCATCTCCGTGAAGGACTTCGAGAGGCAGGCGGTCACCTACACAGATCGCGCACTGCGCCGCCTCTTCCGCACCCTGGATCGCACCCCACAGCTGGCAGAGAGGGTGCTGCGCAAGAACAAACAGACCGAGTGCGAGCAGCGTGGGCTCTTCTCTTTCCTCTGGGTGCGGGCTGAGTAGGGGACCTTGCTCGGGCTGCAGGTGGGGTCTTGCAGAAGCCCGAGGCTGTCTTGCCTGGGAAGTGAAGTTGGCAAGTGGCCCTCTGTGACTCCCCTTTTTGGGCTTCCGGCTGTTCCGCCTCTTCTGTTGTAGGCGAAGTTCCTCTGCACTGTCCAGGGGCAGCTGAACCTGTGCAACAGCATGGGAGCGCAGGAGATGCGCCAGCGCCTGGACCGGCTGAAGAGGACCATCCACCGTGCTCACCTGTATGCCCAGGGTGAGGCACAATCTCAGCCAACGAGGGATACCACGGTGTTTTGTTTCTTTCTGTTGCTGTGCTGGGGCTTGAACCCAGGGTCTTGGTCATGCTAAGCACACACTGTAGTACTGAGTTACACCTATGGCATCTAATTTTAAAGAAATAACATTTTTGAGCCAAGCCTAGATGTGCACGCCTGTAATCCCAGTGCTCCAGAGGCTGAGTCCGGAATTGACCTTGAGTTCAATGCCAGTCAGAACTGGGAAAACCCTGTCTCAAAAACAAACAAAACAAGGGCTGGCTAAATAGCTCAGCAAATTAAAGCACCTGCAAGCAGGCATAGTGGTCAGGGGTTCAATCCCCCGGGCCTGCCATGTGGGCCCCACCCCAGGACGTGCAAGACAGCAACTGAGACTGGGCCTGGTGGCGCGTGCCTGTAATCCCAGTTCTTGGGAGGCTGTAAATAGGCGGATCACTACGAGTCCAATCTAGTAGTGAGATCCTGAACACCCTGTAGACCCTACCCTAAAATACAAAAACACAAAACAAAAAACACAAACCACATTTTAACCTGTTATGGTGGTGTATACCTGTAATTTTGATGGCTTGGGAGGCTGAGGTAGGTAGATGGCAAATTCAAGGTCAGCCTAGGTAACTTAGTAAGACCCTGTCTCAAAGTCAAAAGGAGTGCTGGGGTGCTTAGGTAGCATGTGTGAGACTGTGGCTTCAGTCCCCCATATCACAAAAAAATGATATTTTCTGGCATAGTCAACATGTTATTGTTATACTTGACAAAACTCACAATACCCTCATACTAGGGACACATTTTAACCTATACTCACATTTTGATGATCTACTAAAATCTGTATTTTGTTACTTCAGGATCCAGGGATGCCCACATGTTTATGAACAGTTGGCTACTTGAGTGTTTTGGTTTTTTTTTGTTTGTTTGTTTTTGGTTTTGGTTTTCTTTTCTTTTGGACACAAGATCTTGCTAGGTCATGAAGTTGCCCAGGCTGGGCTCAAATTTGTGATCTTTCTTTCTCAGCCTCCTGGAGGGCTAGTACAGGCAATTTCACCATGATTGGCTTCTCTTAAGTTCCTTTTGCTCTAAGGTGACTATATAGCATTTGTGTCCAAATTGGGACACTGATCACTCTAGGATGGCAGGTAGAACAGTGGCCACTTCAGTTAAAGCTTGCTTTGAGATGGAATGATCCCACTTCCTCTCTTTTTCTCCCATGCCACTGACTAGAACCATGTCACACTCTGGGTGTCCTGCCTTTGGGTTTATATTGGTTGCTGGATGTTCCTGTATTTCTTGGATAATTGCTCTGAGACCCTGGCTGGATTCAGGCAGGCTCAGTTCCTTTGGTGTATTTGTGTTTGGTGATACACTACCTCAGAGTGGAAGCAATTCCTCCTGCATCACACTGGGAAACATAACTGGGGATGGGGGGGCACATTTTCCATGTTGCTGTGAGTCCTTCATGTCACCACTTCATCCAATGGGTGGGTTAGTCGAATATGTTGTCCTCAAAACAGCTCGTGTTGTTTACCTCTGTTTTACTGAAGAGGAAATAGAGCCATGAGTTGGTTGGCTAACATGTGCAGGGTACTACCTCCTGTTCCTGGAGGTAGACTTGGGTCTGTGTTGATCTGCAGTACAGGTTCTTATGCTCTAGGCCAGTGCTGAGTGGTAGTTATTATCATTATAGGTGAGCCATTCTGATTGGCTGTATAAAATTGTATTAATGGAAGTCCTGCATGGTGGCACATGCCTGTGATCCCAGCTCTTGGGAGGCTGAGGCAAAAGGATCATTGTGAGTTCAAGAGCAGCTTAGGCTACAAAGTGAGCTCAAGCCCAGCCTGAACTGCCTAGCAAGACCCTGTCTCAAAAAAAAAAAAAAGTATTAATGCCCACTTTGCTAGTTGTCTGTATCTTTGAACAGACTCATCAAATGTAGTAAAAAAAAAAAAAAAAAAAAAAAAAACCTAAAAGAAGATGCCCTCTCTGAGCCCATCGCTGCAAACCTTCCACATTGTGGGTTTCTTCATGGAAGAAATGCCCTTTCCATGTCCCCAAAATAGCCATGGGGCTGTGTACAGGCAGCCCTGGGTGTTCCCTGGGACCTACTTTTCCTTTGTTGCTTTGGCAGGCTCAGTTTTCCACAATGCTTGGGACTGAGCAGTAGGCCAATGCTGTCACTTCCCATGGAGTTCTGCCTTTTATGTCAGACAGCGCAGGATGGATCTTGTCTGTGCTTGTACAGATAGAGGCCCTGGTTCCACCTGTAAAAAAAGTCCTCTTTTCTCCAGGGGGCTGGGGGTTGGTAGCTATCTGTGGTAGTCTGAGGTTTTGTCCCCCTATGATATGTATCCCGCCCTGCCTGCCAGAGGGATATTGTGAAGACCCTACAACATTGTATTGACCCCCACTGTGCCCTACTCTGTCACAAGGAGACACTCATAGTACTTTTTGTCACAGATGCCAAGAAGAAGAGAAAAAAATCCAAACTGAAGAAACCAGAACCCATACTCCGACAAGACCGGTCAACCTCTCCATGCCTACTACCAACCCTGCTGCCACCTCCACCACCGCCATCACTGCCACCACCTGTCACCACCATGACCTCTGTGGTGGCCCCATCGTCCCCAGTCTACACTATGCCCAGGATCTTTGGTCCCTTCCCTTCACTCCCTAGGAAGCCGGTCAGTGGGAATATCTTCCACCCCAAGCAGTCCTAGGAGGGGTAGCTTTGTCTCCCTGCTCAAAACAGTTCCCACTTTGCCTGCTGGGCCCATGGCCCTGGCTCTCAGACATCCATCCTCAGACCCCTTTTTTCAGATAAGAACACCAGTGAATAAAGCAGACAAAAGGGGCTTCCCTGGTTGAAGAGTCAAGGGGTAGGTGGTGAGGGTACCCAGCTCTACCACCCAGCCCTACTTCTTGCCCTCGAGCATAGGTACACTGGACAGGATCCTGGCACTGCTGAAGGACTGACAAAACTGTGGGCCCTCCCCACATCTTTAGCCACATTTCTACTTCTCCCTTTGGTGTCCTCTCACCTGTCCCACACCTGCTGTGCCTGCTCTTCCGGGTTCCTGTTTATCCCATGCATCCTCTCATCTTATAGGTACCTCTCCATCCCCTAAGCTAGACTGGAAACTCCTTAGCTCTAACCCCCAACCTATCCCCGGTACCCCTGAAATGCCACGATCAAAAGCACACTGAGGGCCAGGGTGTTAGCTCAGTAGACTAAGCACTTGCCTGGCAAGTGCAGGGTCCAGAGTTCAATCCCCAGTACTGAAAGAAAAAAAAAAGCACATTGAGGTATCTGCTGAATATTGGCTCATGTGAGGATTGTTCTGCAAGGTGAGGCCTCCCACACTTGTGTCCTGAGCTTTCCTTTGTTTCCTGCAGATGGAGAAATTGGACAACACAGGGTCTGAAGTGCAATTAAACTGCAGTGGTCTGTCATCAAACCCAAAGAGGTGGAAGGAATCTACTCTGGACTTGAGGGAAATGAAACAGGAGCATGGGGGGCGGGCATCCTGGAGCCAGACTCTGCCCCTTTACACTCTATAATGGTTGCTGTCCTCATTTCCCAGGGCAAGAGTTGGGCTCTGTGTGTAGGCGTTGCTTGGTCTGCGTAGCAGATCCACATTCTTGGGCTATGGAGGGACCTGGGGCTGACATTCTGTCTCTGACCTGTCTTGCAGCCGCATGGTTGATCTGACTCCCTTGGTCCTCAACCCCGGAGGCTTCCATTTCTCATACTTGGCTAGAAACAGTCCACACAAGCTCCATTGCCCCGGCTTTCCCTGGTAAGCAAGCCTCTGTCTCTCTGGGCCAGTAGCATCATGATTCTGGTCAGCCCTAGGGTACCTTGCCCCTATGTCTCATGGGAGTGTGCACAAGTGCTAAAAAAGCTTTCAGTATGATGTCTGTTTCACCTCTAGAAATAACTCTAAACATAATTGTGTGCCAAAAAAGTAATGTCCCTTTCTAGTGTGGTAATGGTGAGGAATTTGTAACTAAGCACACTCGGGCTCAACTGAAAGAGAAAGATGCCACCAACCAAGAGGCAGCCCCTAGTCTACATTAGGGCCCATGTTTGGTGTTACCCATCTGGGGGGCGGAGACAATTATTAATGATATCCATCCCTTAAAGAGTTAAAAAGATGTCTATGTTGAGATTGCTAGGATAAGCAATAAATAGCTATTAAGAGGCCTAAAACGGGGTGGGTGGGGGAGTACTAATCTCAGCTACTTTTAGCTATGTGGGAAGCTGAGCCAGGAGGGTCACATTTGAGTCAGAGTGCTGTTTTTGGCTATGGAAATACAGTACTACCAGATTGGTTTAGTTTACCCACCACCCTGAACAGGAGATTGAACCAAAGGCCTGTAGCATGCTGGGCAAGTGTTCTACCACTGAGCTACATCCCAGTCCCAGGCCTTTTTTTTTTTTTTTTAAAACTCAGTAGCATATAGTCAAGTGTCTAGTGGATTTTGGTATATTCATAACTCTGCAACCATCACCCACCATCCAATTTTAGAACATTTGGACCACCTTGAAAGGAAGAGAGTGCTGGGAGTGCCTGCATAGCATAAGTGAGGCTCTGGGCTTTACCTTTAGCGTCAAGCCGTGCCAAACACCTGTTGTTCCCCGGTACTTGGGAAGCTGAGATGGGAGAATCATTTGAACCCAGGAATTTAGGGCCAGCCTGTGCAGTATGAGGGACCTGGAGCTGACAGGTCCTTTAAAAACATAGTGGGAGAAAATATTTGCATATCATCTCAAAAATAAAAAGCAACCCTATTTAAAAATGGGCACATGTCTAGTGTGGCACATACCTGTCATCCCACCACTAGGGAAACTGAGGCAGGAAGATCAAAAAGAGTTTGAGACCAGCTTGGGCTATGTAGGAAGTTCAAAGTTTAAACTACACACCAAGACCCTCTCTGAAAAAGGGTGGGGCACAGGATTTGATTAGATGTTTCTCCAAAGGTATACAAATAAATGGCCAATAAACAGGAAACAGTGCTCAACATCATCGGTCACTGGGAAAATTGTAAACCAAAACAATAATGAGGTACCAGCACATAAATTAGAATGGCTGTAATGAAGGCAGCAAAGAGAGTGATCTGCCAGGTCATGCGCACCCGAAATGCTGGCGTGGTGGGAGGGGGAGGCAGGAGCAGTGCAAGTTGGCCTAGCGCAGAGATGTCAGGCTTAATCTCCAGTATCACAAAAAAAAGAGACAATGACAGCTGTTGATAAGAATGTAGAGAAAATGAAACCTGTGCATGGTTCATGGTAAGGTATAATGGTGTGACCATTGAGAAAATCAGTTTGGCAGTTCCTCAAAATGGAGATCACAGAATTCCCTTATGGTCCAGCAATTGCAGTCCTATGCAATACCCTGAAGAATAGAAAAGAAGATTCTAACATACTTGTACATGCATGTTCATGTGCCACAATATCACAGTATCCAAAAGGCCAAACAGCCCAAGTGTAAAAGGTGAGGAAAGAAAATGTGATGTATCTACATAATGGAACCTTACCAACCATAGAAAGGAATTGGGTTCTAATACATACTAGAGTGAATATGTGGACGATCTGAAAACTAATCCCTCTGAGTTGTACACTTGGCAGCATTAAGCCCCTGGCTGGCAAGCACAAGGTCCTGAGTTCAATCCCTGGTAGCAAAAAAGTTGAAAACAAAGGAAAGAAATAGGAGACCAGGATTGTAGTCAGGATTGAACTCACACAGAAATTCATTGATAAATTCTTTGATCCAGTGTTTACAATCCTGCGGGATGTGTCAAAATAAAAATATAGTCCTGAAAACTATCTCAAGGAAATCATAAGGAAAAAGGAAAAAGCTATTTTTATAAAAATAGTCATGGCAACATTAGCTACAAAGAGGAAGCCTAAAAACAAATTGCATTCATAGGGCTAGGGAGATGGCTCAGTAGAATAAGCACTTCCCTGGCAAGCGCAAGGGCCTAAGTTCAATTCTTGGTTCTGCCAAAAACAAAACAAAAAAACCAAAACCCAAAAAACAAAATAATAAATTGCATTCATAAAAAAATTGCATTCATATAATTATAGAATGTTTAAAAAAGAGAAAAAAGCAGGGGCTGGGGAGATAGCTCAGTGGCTAAGCACTTTCCTGGCAAGCATAAGGTCCTGAGTTCTATCCCTGGTAACAAAAGAAAAAAAAGGAGGAAACCCCAGTAATTATGGAATGTCACATAACTGACTTATTGGGGG